TTTTTTTTTTTCCGAAGAAAAGGACAAAGAGAGAAGAAGCAAAAAACGTTGCGATCACGATGGGAGAGGTTGAAGACGGAGAAGTCGGGATGGAAATAATGAGAGGTCGGGATGGGAGTGAGGGATGGAGGGAGAACCGAGCGGGATGGGAGTGAGGGATGGAGGGAGAAGTAAGCGGAGGAAGGAAAGGGGGGAGAGGTCGGAATGGGGAGGGAGAGAGGTCGGGATGGGAGTCGGGAGGCAGGAGGGAGAGGGAGAAAAAATCTAACAGGAAGGGCGGAGGGAGAGGTCGGGATGTCGGAATATGGTCGGGACGGGGAGGGGCAGAGGTCGGGATGGGAGTCGGGAAGAAGTAAACGGAAGAAATGTTGGGACCACGCTGGAAAGGGAGAAGTCGGGATGGAGAGTCAGGAGAGGTCGGGATGGAAGTCAGAAAAAGGAGGAGAAGAGGTCGGGATGTCGGGATATGGTCGGGAGGGGGAGGGGCAGAGGTCGGGATGGGACTGGGAAGGGAGAAGTCGGGATGGAGAGTCGGGAGAGGTCAGGATGGGAGTCGGGAAAAGGAGGAGGAGAGGTCGGGATGTTGGGATATGGTCGGGATGGGAGTCGTGAAGAGGGGGGGATCGAAGTCGGGAGAGGGGAAAGAAGCGAGAGGTCGGGATACGCTGGGAGGGGTTGAGAAGGGAGAAGTTGGGATGGGAATCGCGAGAGGCCGGAGTCGGGAAGAGCGAGCGATCGAAGTCGGGATAGGGGAAAGAAGCGAGACGAGGGGAGGGAGAGAGAGAAGTCGGGATGGAGAGTCGGGAGAGGTCGGGAAGGGAGTCGGAAAAAGGAGGAGGCGAGGTCGGGATGTTCGGATATGGTCGGGAGGGGGAGGGGCAGAGGTCGGGATGGGACTGGGAAGGGAGAAGTCGGGATGGAGAGTCGGGAGAGGTCGGGATGGGAGTCCGGAGGAGGGAGGGAGAGGGAGAAACGATGGACGGAGGGAGAAGTCGGGATGGGAGTCGGGAGAGGTCGCGATGGAAGTCGGGAAAGGAAGGAGACAAAACGACGAAAAG